CCAAATAAGATAACCTTATGACTCAAGCCTCATGAGCTAACACAATATAAGATTTGTTTTGCAAAAATAAGATCATCCAAATAAGATAACCTTATAACTTAAACATCATGAGTTAACACAATGAATCTCATTCTTCTTTCGTATACACATCTTCTTATTCCAATATTTCAATCTCCCACCAATGTGAGATATCTCAAACTCAACCACAATTCATCAACACCTCAATAACTAATTCTCATGATGCCACATCAACACCTCTTGGTTCTTCTTTTAATATATATATATATATACACACACACACACACATAGAGGAGCGATCAAATAAAAACCGCATCCATTTGTGTAAACCGTGTAAACCAGTCTCACCCATCCATTTTCTTGATCAATGGTTAAGATTAATCAAGGTTATTTAAGRAAATTAAAAATAAAAAAAATTGAAAATACATTTTATAATACCGATAAGGGCAAAAGGGTAAAACCAAATATTCATTTATTCAAGGAAACCATATCATGTATATCATATTATAAATGAAACTAATCTATTTTTGTAAAGTAATTTATTATTTTTACGTTAATATTTATTATTATTAACGAAACTAATTTATTTTTCATCTCACAATTATTTCATGACAAACCGCCTACATTATGCACCCGTTTCATTTTTCATTTCATCTACTGAATGGATCACCTACACCATCACTGAAACGGGTTTCACCATGAAAACAGTTCACTACTCATTGTTCAATTACGCCATGAACCTGTTTCATGTAAATTAATTTTTTTATTTCACTCATGATTTGATGCATTCTTTCCTTTAATCCTTACAATCTTCAAGATTCTGGAGCAGATTACAATCTTCAAGATCACGAAGCAGATTCATCATGTACTCGTTTTATCATGCAATTATTTCATGACGAACCAAATAAATTATGCACCCGTTTCATGTTCCATTTTTTCTACTAAACGGATCAACTACAACCATCACTGAAACGTGGTTCACCATGAAACGATTTCATATTACTCATGAATCAATTACAACATGAACCAGTTTCA